ATTCATTGTTTTAAAAACAATTCACTGCTTTAAAAACAATTCACTGCTGTAAAAACAGCAATTCACTTAAAAGCAATTTATGGCTGTTCTAGAATGTGCTTTTTGTTTCCTGTTTCTTGTTGTTTGTCACTTGCTTTTTGATCAAGAAGGTAAGAGACAAACAGCAATAAACAGGAAACAAAAAGCATATTGTAGAATAGCCATAACTGCCTTAAAAACAACAATACAGTATTTTAAACATACAAATTCTTTGTATTACCAGTAAATTTGTATTGTTAAAGCAGTGAACTGTTGTTTTTAAAGCAGTGAATAGTTTTTAAAGCAGTGAATTGTTTTTAAAGCAGTGAATTGTTTTTAAAGTAGTGAATTGTCACAAAGCATGAAAAAGGCAACAGCAATGCATGCTTGCATCGCAGTATTTCGCAACAGTGACAGATTTCCTAACCTCAATAGTTGTTAACTTTAACGCTTAATATCTCGGCTCACAGGGCAGAGCGACACTTTTTTTTTGCCAGATTCTTTCGTTTCATGCAAAAACAAATAAACCTAATTTTATTGATTTTTGAGTTGCGATAACTAAACTGATTAATTATTAGGTGTACAACTTTGCTTCCGCCATTTTTTTTCCGAAATTCGAGGTTTTATTGTAAAAAACTGGTTATACATTTATGATTCAAAGTATTGTCCATCGCTGGCCACTACTTTCTCCTATCTTTCGGGCAGCGTACGAATCCCGTATCGAAAAAACTAGTCATCTTTTAAGGGGATGCTGGAGTGACGGTCGAAGTTAATCAAAGTCGATAGTACAGACTTTTTTACATTCCAAATTCGATAATAGTGACATCAGGCTGCTCCTCGCCCTGATGAAGTGGACTGCAAGGTTCACGAAACGTTGGCATTCCAAGAATGGATTTGAACACGGAGAAAACCCGCGAAACACAAGATTGTCAAATAGTGACATCTTTCATTCATTTCTTATACTTATCTATATCGTTGTGTCTCGCTCAAACGCATT